CTCGACTTGCAACCAACTCGAGTTGCAACCAGAGTCACGGAACGGATTAAGTTTGTAACTAGAGGTACCACTGTACTACCATCTACCAAGAATTCCAAATGTTTTGGCTAACAAAATCTTGTGGTATTCTCGTACCATTACAGTTACCACTGGAAAGAGATGCTGAAGTATTATGAGATATGGTCATCTACCTATACTTTGTCAGAACAGATAACAACACCTAGCAAACTAGCCTTAGCTGATCCCTCCAAATTAAGCAAGATTAATAACTGTATAGGGAAATCCCACTGGCAGCAAGAGAAGACTGGGAAGTGGGAAAACTTCCAGAAGAAGGCACTGGCAAGCAATTTCCATACTGTTGTTAACAAAATTCCATGGACGTGACCAGGTTCCCAAGAAACGTTGAGCTGGATTCAAAGTAGTCTCTATTTTTACCTCTTGATTTGTGACATTTTGTAACGTCGCTGTGTATTCCAGCGGTTTCAGCTATCGTACATACTCATGGATAAGCTGAGAATTTAAGGTGCCAAAATACTCACAAAAAATTGGCTTCAGCTTATCCACAGATGGGCTTATCTGCAAATATACTGTATATGGTAATACTTTTTTAAAGTGCCCGTCTTTCCTGTACATACTCACATATAAGCCCATCTGCGGATAAGCCGACCCACAAATTTTTAACCAAAACACCATGAAAAATGTGAGCCGGTTTATCTGCGGATGGCACATTTTTCATGATATTTTTGGTTAAAAATTCGAGGGTCACCTTATCCACAGATAGGCTTATAGACGAGTATATACAGTACATCTATCTTCCCATTGCTTAATTGCTATTAGTGGTAGAAATTTCAGGCAGGCAAGCACATGGGATGGTGAAAGACCCTCTAGCCTGCCTTCAACAGGTTGCCCAGCTTCCACATCGGAACTCTGTAGCTACAACCATTATGGAAATACTAGCTTGCAAGATACTTTATTAACCTGTTTTCTGCACACAAAACTGGTCCTTCTTATCAGCAAAATGCAGGTGAGCCAAAAAAAAAAAAAAAACCCTCTGCAGGTACATAGCATGATTGCATTAAATAGTCTGTCTCATCTCATCTCACAGGATATACAATTTAGATTCCTGTTTATGTTTCGGTGGGTAAACTTCACCCAATTTATACTGGTGTTGGTGAACAAACCCGAAGCATAAGGCGTGTAAGAAAAAGAGCTGCGTAAAGGAAATGCAGAAATACGGTGAGAGGTAAGAAAAGTCACGAAGTATTGAGTTGTTATTGCTCTTCTTCAAAACTGAGCTTCCTCCAACAACTTACTACATATGTAGTACATACATATTCAGGTGGGGAAATAATTTACACATATGACCTTATGTATGGTACCCAATGTTTCTAAGGGATTAAACAAAGACAAGATGTTTGTTAAATCCGTGGTGTAATATTTTGAAGAGAAGACCCTTTTGCTGGGAAAGATGGAAGGCCAAAGGAGAAGAGGACGGCAGAGGATGAGATGGTTAGATAG